TATTTTTGCAAGCGCACTGTTGCTGTGGCACCGCCCACAACGATTGTGATTGGCTGAAAGAAATACAAGCAGCCGGGGCGTTTTTTTCTCCAATCTTAAAGTGAGAGTCGGCGCAGCCAGACCTTTCTTTTCTTGAGGAAGGTCTGGTGAGCGAGACTATCTAGCCATTGAAATACATTATAAGAAATCGATTTTTAAGGTCCCATGTACCAGAAACGGAAACACGCAACTTACTATTACTGCTGAATTATTACAACTTACTTACTATTACTACTGAATAACTGACCTGTTACACTGATTCTCGCAATATTTTGACTTGTTGACATATTGATGTCATACTGTTACCACGGCAACAACAAGCCTGGCTGACAGTGAAATTATTCCTGACTCCTGTGTGGTTCCAGTAAAAAGAGGAGCAGCTTCAGTAGTGTGGAATAAAGTGTGGCGTCCTGAATGTTTTCCTTCTCTTAGCGCTCAGAGGGAACTCATTCAGCGGCTCCTCTGGCAGCAGCACAGCGTCTCTCCCTCTCCTCTCTGATTCTGTCACAAACCTTTGCTGATGGAAACCTACGTGAATAAACTCCATATATGTGACTGTCTCATAACAGCCTGTCACAGGTTACAGCCTGATGGTTAGAGGAGAAATGGCAGAGCATAAAAACAGAGAAGGAAATCAGCTGTTGATTTATATATATAGATCCCAGGGGACATTTGTTTAAATGTGTAATTAGTGGTAGATTTGATTTAGTTGAACTATTAATATTGTGACAGGATCTGAATCTGACTCTGAGTTACTGTTGTTGTTCACAAACTGAAGACATGAATCATCATTTTAGTTTTTACTGAAGATTTGAAGCAAACTGTGAAACTACATCACTGATTCTGTTGATATTCTATCTTCTTAAATTAATATTTTTTATGAATCTGTCATATTGTCAAGAATATCGTCATCACAAAAATACCCTGAAATTATTTTAGGCTCGTGTCACGCAGCCCTGCTGATCACATGTGAATAAACAACGTGAATATGATCATTAGATTTTACAACATGAAGGATCGATCAGCACCGCAAAGACACACAGTCACAACTGCAGCATCATCATCATCATCATCATATTATTATTATTATGTAACAACAGTAAACAAAGTGAGCTCAGCTGTGTTTACAGTGATCTTATATATTTGTGTTTGACTCTGTTTGGCGGACAGGAAGTGACATCAGATTAAACTTCGCTCAGCACATTTACTGTGGTTTGGTTCATAGTTACTGCAGACGTGACATAATGTGTGAACAGAGGTCGAACACACTTTCACTTTTCATGTTTTATATTTTATGTGTCATGTATGAGACATCTCATTTCTTCCCACTGAACCTGTTTCCATCTCAAGAGACAAACATGTCGTGGGTGTCGGTGTTTTGGCTTCACAGCAGGACGTATAAAGCAAACTTCTCCGGGGCCCAACGAACACGGGGCCCCGGAGCCGCAGGCCGCCGCGGCCACAGAGCCTCTGTGTCATGTGATGTTGTTGTTACTGGACATTTGAAGATGGGCCCTGCTGCAGAGCTCCAGGCTCAGGCCCACCTCCATCACCAGACCCATGGTGGGAAACCATGTGTTCATCACGCTGCCAATAAATCAATAAATCAATAAATCCTGTTGCCATGCGTGTGTGCTTCACTGCCCAGTGTTGTTAAACCGACAGATCACATTTGGTTTCACCTTTCAGCACCACGTTCGTCACGCTTATCGTTAATAAAAACGTGTCCGGTGTTACAGATTATTGGTTACTGCTGTTGCATCAGTGTGAGATTTTCACAGTAAAATAACCGTCCCAGAAAATATTGCAGCGTCACGTCATCACAGAATTCTTCTCATCATCGGTCACAGCGACTCTTAAAGGGTTTTTACTGAAATGTTTTATCACTATAATTAAAACCTGAAACTTTTTTCTTAAATGAAACTTCGGGTTTAAAGTTTCTCTTCTGAAAAAAACAAAGGTGAGATTCTTCGTCCAGCTGCATGATAACCGTCGGTTTTCATACCACAGTGAACCGGTTTACTGCTGCAACCCCTCGAGTTACCCCGTTAAAAAAATAACAAATACAAAAGAAAAATGATCCGACCCGAACAAGGAAGGCATGTTGCCTTTTATTCTTTAAAAAAAAGTTTTGCTTTTTTAAAAAAAAAATTAATTTCTGCTGATTTTTCTTAATGTTTGAGGCTATATTTCAAGAAAACATGCTGTAAGACATATTTGCATTTTTAAAAAAAAACAGCCAGAAACTGTAAAACTAGAAATTATTGCTGAATTTCTGACGGTCCCTGAACACATCACATGTGATGAACCCTTGTGTCAGAGGAAAACCCATATCCAGACCTGGGCTATAAATACTGATATTTTATTACAATCACTTTATTCTACGTCTTATTTTCTTCTTCTTTTACAAAAATTTGCCACGAACTAACCAGCAGCGACGAGTTGGTGGCAAAATTGTCTGTATAGTAAATACAAACTAAATACAAACTACAGCCATTTACAGCTGTAAGATAAGAAACATTAGTCCCTCACAGTGCTTCACAAATGATTCAGACTGCCTCCCCTTTCTGCGGCCCCTCAGAAATAGCGAACATTCCCTAAAATAAACCTTAATGTGTATTTTGGATATTTTCTGGAGGCAAAATGTCTAAACTGATGACAGAACTGTGTCTCCATCTGTGGACTCGTTTTGTTGACGAAATCATAAATGAGCAAAGTGAGCGATGCTGATGTCACGTGCGTGTGTCAGGTCTGTGCTCAGGTGGAATATAACCACATCAATATCATATTAAAGTGTGTCAGGTTTACTCGGTGGTGTCTGAACGGTCCCTCCCGGGTGAAGCTGCGGCCCTGCTGCACCTGCAGTCCGGCCTGAACCGACACCACCTGCCTCCGTCTGGACGCAATGTCACAGAAACAGCGCAAATATCTGCGGGAGACACGCGCTGAAACACTGCGGTGAAATGAGGCGAGTCACGGAGGCTCCGTCCGTCCTTCAGAGGTGAAATCACAGTATAGCTGCAGGCAGGCGGACAGACGGACGGACGGACAGCTCGGCGTGTCCTCTGCGCACACATTATATAACCCAGCACCCCCACCCCCCCACCACAAAAACACCGGAGCCGTACGGAGGCTGGATGGATGCTGTCCCGGTGCAAACAGCGCGCAGGGGCCGCTGACAGGCCGCTGCTGCTGCAGCCTCAGCGGCCTGTCAGCGGCTAATCGACCCGCTGAGGAGATCAAACAAAGCCGTCTTATGACAGAATAAAGCCCCGTAATAATTAAACCCAATTAGATAAAGCCGGTACCTGACCACCAGAAGCCGATCCTCCTCCTCTTCCTCTCCTCCGACAAATCAAAGATGTTTCACCGCAGAAAAAATCTCCCGTTAAATCCTCACAAATCCACCGCCGCCCCGGCTGCGTGCTGCCGCAGCGCCGCCATCCCGCAACAAAAAGGCTGATTCAGGCCCGACGAATCACCGCCGGGGCTCAGGGGGGAATCCCGCCGCACGAACGTGTCCCTCCGCCGGCCGCTCTGTCCGCTGCGAGCCGCTGCTGCTCCGCCGGGTGTCGGTGTTAAAATGGAGGCGGTCTCTCCGGGAACAGAGACGGAGCGGAGCCGCTGCTACTGCCGCTGCTACTGGGAGGAGGAGGAGGAGGGTGAGGGTGAGGAGGAGGAGGAGGAGGGTGAGGAGGAGGAGGAGGAGGGGGGGGCGCGGAGCCGCTGCTGCTGCACGAGGACACCGACAGAGGGCGCCAAACCGGGACCTTCACAATAAGAGCTCCTCCCTCAGGCTTTTATTTTTTGTCTTTTCTTCCTGTTTACAGTAAATACAGTTAAAATAAAACATAATATAAATATAATGGTCAAATATTTTCTACATATAATAACAAGTACAGTAATAATCATGAACATCATAGAAATAACACTCCTCTGTCTCTCCTGATTTAACAGATTTATGGAGTTTTGTATAAATGTTTTTAAAAATAGAAATTGTAACAATACAGAAAATAAGAAAACAATCGTCAGATATTTTCCACATTCAATAATAAGTACAGTAGGACTGGACTCCCTTGCAAAAGAGATTCTGAATCTCAATGGGACTATTTCCTGATAAAATAAAGGTTAAATAAAAAAAAAATAAATAAATAAATAAATAACATTTTGGATTTCCAAGATGGCCGCCATGTAAAATCTATAAGTGCCAATATCTCAGCTTCCAAGCTACTTAGAAGGTCCATTTTGGTGACAAAATATACATTTTCTGGGTCAAGGAATGCATTGAAGCTATTAGGNAAGATAGGCACACACACAAGTTAAAAGGCTAAGTGTGTGAGATGTGAAACTTATTGTCTAAAGCTAACATCTAGCCTAACTTCCAATTTGACTATGAACAACATCTATTTCCAATTTGACTATGAATTGTAAATCACACATAAACAGTTGAAAGGGTTCCTTTCTGTATTGGTTCATCATAATAACAAATAGTTTAGTCAGCTTACACAGAATGAATGAATGAATGAATGAATGAATTGAGAAGTCAATGAAAGTGTGTTTTCCCCCCCGCTCTACAGTAGATTCGAACTGCAAGGTGTGTCAGATAGACCCCTAGCTGAGGTGATCTGCACAACACCAGAAACGGTTAGTAACTATAGAGACAGGAGCAACCCCTTACCCTCAAAGAATAAACCTATATTAGAATAAAGTGAGAGTATGTTTTAAACCTTTTGAATAGAAGAAGCCTTTACCCTGTAAAGGTAGATGTGATAAAGGTAAAGGAAGACTAGTAAATGCAAGACTTTATTGAATATCATAGAAACAAGGAACAATGTTCTTTTGTCAGGTTGACAAACCGTTGTTTCTTTGATACTCAATAAATGATTGTGTTTACCTGTGTGGACAGTGTGTGGGACCTCACTTTCCTTTACCTGCAACCTTGTACATGTATTATTGTAATCCATTGTCTTGCATTTTCTTTTCACAGAGGACAGCTGTGACAGAGGGGACACAGAGGAGATGTGTGATCACGCAATTGTCCAGGACAATCTGTCCAATTATCCAGTGCTGAAGGTCTGATATTTCAGAATGTACAGACATTACCCATTTAGAACAGATGCAGCATTTGTGTGTACTTTCAACTGAATGCTCTAGTCTAGTTTGTAGAATTTGTTTAAGGCATTTTAGTTGTAGATGTTTTTGTAGGACTTAGACTATATATATCAAGTAGTAGTACACTATGTATATCAAGCAAGTACTTTTTTAATTGGTCGGCTAGTGTGAGTTAACACTGTAATATATATTTTGACAGAACCTTCTCCCAGAGGACTACAGCTATCACGTGTGCTCTTGTGAGTCACTGGGGGACTCAAACAATTTCAGGACTAGCCTGAAGATAAGGTTGACTAGGGAGGATGAGGTGCAGAAGTGGCAGGAGGATTTACAGGCATCCTCGGGCTTGACCTGGCAAAAGTCAAAGACCTACCCAGATGCTGGTCATGGCTCTAACAAGTATAGAAGTATAGGGTTAGTACAGACACAGGCTACAGAGACATCGTACAGTTTGTTTTAATAACACAGATACCCAGACCAGTTATGTCATGTTCAGGTGTCTTGCGTTTGTGTCTTTTGGTGTTAGTGTCTATCTGGTGTATGTGTGTCCGTTACGATAGTGTACAGTGTTTACAAAAAGAATAGTTTTTGGACATATGTGGTCTCACAGGTGCATAGGAGAAAAGCGGAGGTTACCATAGAAAAGACTCCAGTAGAGTGTCATCTTCACTTGCAAACAAACATTTATTTTGAGCAAAGTTTTGATACTTAGACCAGGTGAAGATGCCAGTGTGTGGGACTTATTCTTTCCGGTGTTGAACCTTTCCATTATCTGCAGGTTGACTTGAGGTGCCAACACAACACCCACACCAGTACTGCCAAGAGTAGCAAAAACACCTCCTGCCGTGCATTTATGTACCTGATTCTGAAAAGACAGACGTATAGTAAAGGGCTGAAGTCAAGGTTAGTCAGACTCTCAGACTGGTTGGACTGCTAAGTGTCCTGATTTTATGGGCACATTCACAAGTACAGTTGTCAGCATCAGAATTAATTTGGCACTGGAAACAGTAGCTTTCCATTGATACCAATATGCCCGCTCTAACGTTACATACGTTGCAGAAGGGTGTGGAGTTGGGGCTGTACATGATGGATGTGCATCAAGGGAGATGGCAGACAGGTTATCTGTGTATATCCTCTCCACTTTAGGTCTGAAGACCCTCACATCAAGGAGGGGTACTACTTCCATGCAGTTATAAACAACAGCCACAACCACCGTGTGTCCTGTGCGGCAGCCTTGGCTAAGAAAGATGTCTCAAAAGAGACCACTGAGAAACTGAAGAAACTCTTTGAAGGTGGCCACTCCCCTGCATCCGTGCACGACACTTTTAAATACGATCTTCAGGAGCAGGAGGGGAGTAACTATTATTTTGCGGCTGCCGATCGCTCAGTATGTCCAGACAGGGACTATTGCTATCGGCTGTACAAAAAGCTCTTCAAAGATGCATATGGAGCACCAGATGGGGAGGAGATGCTGTCTGATCTTCAGAAAAGACTGGACAGCTACAACCAGGAGCAGGGAGATGTGTGTGCGAAGATGGCCAGGACTGATGAGGGACAGCTGGTCATTGCTATTTGCACTCCACTCATGAAGAGGGTGCATGCAAAGGTCAGGCAGAGTGGGGAGATGTTATTCATTGACTCAACTGGAAATTGTGACTGCCAAAACCACCGGCTCTTTTTGCTGCTCACTCACTCTTCAGTGGGTGGATTGCCACTTGGGGTGCTCATCACCACCTCAGAGAGCCAGCCGACCATCACAGCTGCTCTCCAGCTCTTCAGCACCATCCTACCTGAAGATGGCTTCTACGGGCGTCAGGAGAAAGGTCCCCAGGTGATAATGACGGATGATTGCTTGGCCCTGCGCAACTCTCTGAGAGCCATCTACTCAGACGCCACCCTTATCCTGTGTGCTTTCCATCTTGCACAGGCCACGTGGAGATGGCTGTGGAGCTCACACCATGGTCTCCTGAAGGGGCATCGATCACAACTGATGAGATCTTTCCAGCTGCTGGTGTATGCGGACACCCCATCCTCCCTGGCAGAGAACTACCGCATGCTGATTGAAGACCCTGTAGCCAAGGGACACCCTGAGTTCATTAAACACCTGGCAGATGTTTATGGAAGGCGGGAGGAGTGGGCCATCTGTCTTCAGTCGGGGCTCCCTACAAGAGGACATCACACCAATAACTATGCCCAGAGTGCAATGCGGGTTCTCAAGGACAAGGTCCTCTACCGACTAAAGGCATACAACATAACCCAGCTGGTTGACTTTGTCCACACCAGGTTGGAGGCGCATTACATCCGCCGACTCACAGATGTGGCCAACAACCAGGTCAGAGGAGAGGAGCGCACTGCAGGAGCAGTCGATTGTGGGGCGATTGTGAAGGTATAATGTGGAATCTAATACATTTCATTTCAGTAATAATGCTGTAATTATATATTTCAGGAATAAACCACAAGTTTAATACATAATCAGTGTGTCAGTAAAGCGCTGTGGCAATCGTAGATTGTGCAAAAGCAACAGAACTTTGCGACAAGCAACAGTTTCGATTCAGTGCTGATTCCATTCCAGGCAGAGCATTGCATACTGTTAATACTGGGATAACAGCAACCCCTTGTGGCGTATTTCTTAACTGCTCTGTAGTACTCTGTGTTTTGTGAAACATCCATAACGGTTTTATTTTTGCATTTTGGATACAGGAGGATGAGATGAACTACATTGTGCCCAGCTCAACTGGTCCTGAGAGGTACCATGTCAGTATGGACATTGGCTTTTGCTCATGTCCACATGGGATCTCTGGGCAACGTTGCAAGCACCAGGTCGCAGTCGAGAAGATGTTCGAGCTCCAGGACACCTTTCCTCACACCTCCATGATCACTATGAGGAAACTGTACCACGAGATAGCCACTGGTGGTGAGATACGTCCTTCCACCTGCATGTGCGATGACAAGTTTCAGTACTGTGTTTTGGTTGATGTTTGTTTTGCAAAGAAGGTCAAGTTGTTTTTATATTTTTGACAGGAATGGACTTTCCAGAGGACTGGTTTCAGTCATTGCTGCTACGGCTGTCTTATGAAGACACAGCAGGAATCTCATGTGAGTTTACACCACAGTCATCACTGTCATGTTTGTGTGTTTGTGTGTGTATCTTCAGCTGCCTTTAGTAAATTGAATGTTAAAACTGTGTTTTTTTAATATAATGTGGTAACAGTTGTAGAAAAGCAATTTACCATTCGAGGGCTACAGAGAAATTTACCATGGGTAGGTCTACAGGATTTTCCGGTGTACTCATGGTAAATTTCTCCATAACCCCCTTCATGGTAAATTGCTTTAATCTATTTGAGTCTGTCTGGCTCTCTCTCTAGGTAGCGGACCCACACCTAGTGCTCTGGACCCTGTTGAGATACAGCCACCCCACTCTCATGCACTCCCAGAAGGAATTTCATGTGAGTTTACACAGCAGTCATCATTGTCATGTTTTAAAGTTTGTGTATTTGTGTTTGTATCTATTTTTGGTCAGTCAACAAATCTATGTAAACTAAACTAGACCTTAAACTCTCCTTCAGGTGGAGGCGATGCCCACACTGAGTTCTGTGAGGACATTCCTCCAGATGACACATATTCGGCGCACTATGCAGGTCTTTATTATTCTCTCATTAAACTAAGCATAACATATTGTCCATGAGAAATGGTTATGCTTTGTTTGCACAAAACGGATTGAATAAATGTCCCTTGCTGTCATTTCCTGCTAATAATCTTAATATTCTACTTCAACCCCAAGACACATCTGTACTGGAGGACGAGCTGGCACGTGTCACTCACACTCACGCTGAGGGGTGACCCCAGCTTCATAGCCCCTCTGACATCATTCATTGCGTCCTATGACAAAATGACCACGGACAGTGCACTACAATCAGCCTTTTCAATATTTGGAAAGAGCCCAATGGCCAAGACCACTGGATACCAAAGGCCGAAGGGGTATCTCCAGACGACTGCCCAAATCTCGGTCCAGCCGACAGCAGTGGGGAGGAGGAAGGCGCGCCTGGGAGGTAGAAGGACCTTGCCATCGGGACGTCCCTCAAAGGCTTCCAGGGAGGACCACCCCTATAAGAGGACAGGGAGGAAGCCAGCTGCTCCTCACAGCTTGGCTCACTGTGTGGAAGCCAATATGTCCCTAGGTGGAACACACTGATGAAATATTAATAAAAATTTGAGAGTGCTAATTTTTTCTACCCTTCTACCCATGATTGTGATGCAGAAGTTGGACTGTAGGCCATGTTCTATATATATCCATGGTGTAGGCTACTAGTTTGACTTCAGAGTCTGATCTGACATGATATTATTCAGTTTTGCAATGCTGTGCGGGCTGATCTGGTCACCTACCACAATTCAAATAGCCTAGGTCTAAGCCAGGCACATTAGAATAATTATTCAATATATAAATAATTTCTACATAATTAAATTATAGTAATGGCAAGTAATTATTCAATATATAAATAATTTCTACATAATTAAATTATAGTAATGGCAAGTAATTATTCAATATATAAATAATTTCTACATAATTAAATTATAGTAATGGCAAGTAATTATTCAATATATAAATAATTTCTACATAATGGAATTATAGTAATGGCAAGTAATTATTCAATATATAAATAATTTCTACATAAT